AAAACTTTCATTTAAATAAAAAATAATTTAGAAAGTAATTATGCTAAGTAAACATATTCTAGTCTTATTCAAATTAGGTTACCAGTTGATTTTTAGTTGGTTGCATAACCTGAGTTCTTGAAAACTACTGAATTAATGGATTATGAATTACTTAGATTATTTAAGAGTGGCATCTAAAATGCAGTACATGCTGCCAAAAAATAGATGCTATAATATTTCTGCTCTGAGTTGTCTAAAACAATTTTGGGAGTGAGTGCTATAAATTTTTAAATATTACACATTTGTTCTACTTTACAGAGCTTTACAGGACAAGATGCTCAAAAGACCGAAATTGTTCTGGGTGAAGTACTAAGATAAAAGTATTTCAAACTACCTTTCATTTACCTTTCAGTGCAGTAATGAGTGATCTCCTTGACATCGCTTAAACTCTTTGATGCTTATTCAAGGAAAAATTTTATACTTTATGTGAACATAACTAAAGATACATCCCTCAAATTTTAAGATCATTACTATTTCCTCAAGTTATTAATTCTTTTTAAAAGTCTAGTGGCAAAACGATGTGCTGCAATCTGGTAGGCACACAGACTCTACCCGCTGATCTGAGGCAGAAGGAAGGGCAATTTCCTCCCTAGCAATTAACTAACTGCCCCTAAAAACCCACCAGAGGGTCAGCGATGGGTTAGATGCAGCAGTATACAACAACAACAACAACAAAATCATATTCATTACCCGCTAGAAAAATACAAGTTCATTTAAATCTAAGCTATCAATTATTTATATTCATTTGGGGAAATGTGACTGAATCTCAGTTGTTTAATCCTCCTAGCTGTGAATCCTAGAATATTTTAATTAACATCCTGAAGCCTCTTATGGTTTTCTAATGAAAAATTTTATACAGTAAATAACTATATTATTTGGAGTTGTGAGAATTTAAAAAAAATTATATATATAATCAGTTATGCACCTAAATGTACGATAAATATTACTGTTTGTGGAGCAGTAAGACATCTAGAAGGGATGCACCAAGGCTACTGCATTGTCTTCAAAGTTTTGTTAGTATTGCCTTTGGAAGAGAGCAGAGCGGCAAGAAGATACAGTTCTAAGAAGGAATTTGTTGTCCTGGAAAAGACGCTTAAATCAGTTTTAGGAATTTCATTTTCAAGTATGTCTTTTGAAGGAAAGTTCTTCTGCTAAATAATAATTTTAATAAACTTGAATTTATTGCTGTTTCCAATATATTTAATAAATGTACAAAAACAATGAGGTCCAGATGAGTTTTCTTAGGGACACACAGCTGATTTTTTTTAAAAAG